GGGTTTAGTGGAAAACGTCTTGATTTCCCAAAAGTTAAAGTCTAAAAATCCAACCCAATAACAGTCAAGTAATCACATATTTTATTAATAAAAACAAACATATAGCGTCAACATAAACAAATACGTTCCATATATATATATATATCATAATCATTATCGATACACAATTAACACATAGATATATTCATATTCAACACACAAAAATGGAGAAAAACAATCTTACACACTCCCTCACAAAGACAGATATTTATTGTCAGCTTAACCCATATATAACATATCATTATGTTTTTACAATGTATCTAGAGTCTGTATTAGCTTCTTTCTTTAAATTCAAATCATTAATAAAAACAATCTTTCGGCATTTCAACTCTTTGCCTTGCTTTGTAAAGGGGCACATGCAAGTTCAAAATCAGAAACATTTTTCCCTTTTGGTCAAACAAACTTCCCTTCTATGTATGCTCTCTTCCAGGCACCACTACCTCAATTCTCGTAACATTGTACATATCTCAAACCTCAATGACGCCTGGATGCAAAATGCACCAAATGTGTTTGAGATATCGCTCCTTCTTTGGTAGTGGGTGCTTTTGATTTCAGAATGCTTTCGGCTGCTTGAGCAAATTTCATGATTCATTAGCGGTTTGCCATCAGGAATTTGTCTATACTGCTGATCTCTTTCTGCATTTTTGGCCATGACCTTGTTTGTGTCGAAGCCACAGCTTCCTACCTTGCTTGCCAACCAGCCGGCGCCTCACAAACCAACCAGGTCCAGAAATACTTTGCTTGCCGTGGATACGGTGCCTCACTTTTGCGTTGCCTCCCCTCACCTGGCCACGCACAAACGCTATGGAAGCTAAAGAAGACCTTTTTCTTCCCAAAGCTTCAATGTTTTCACGCAGCTGTTTTGCTGACTGCATTCATGACTGGCCGCTTTGTTCTTTGATGACTTCTCTGTTTATCTGCTTTTGCAATGGATTGCTGAATATACTGCGCGTGACGAACCCCCTTCAGGGCGGCATGTATGTCCCAAACTGATTGAATTTCTGATCTGTGTTTGGGAAGTTAAGACTCATCCTACTTCCGAGGAGGCAGTGCACAATGGCTACAAGTGTGCTAGAGAGTTCAAGACAAACAACTCAGACCCAATCACCCTCTAGCAAACAGGCAAGGCAACTGGTCCTCCCCTCTGCCGTGGAATTCCACTTCGCGCCTTCACTTGGCTGAGCCACGGTGTCAAGCTTTGGCCTCGTAACAAGCAACTGCCAGGTTTTGTTGGAGCAAAGACACCAGGCACTGAGACCACGGCAGCTGTTGCAGGGCCGTGGCGAAATATCAATCACCTGGTTCCCGCGCTTTGGTTGAACATTTTGGATGCCCGCTGGCTGAGAACGAGCGAAGGATGTGAACCGGATGTGAAAAGCAAACTTCCAAGCCCGCAGCTCGCCCCAGCTCGTCCACTTTCAGCGCCTTGGGCCGAAGCTTCCCTCCCGGCGGATTTTACTTCCCGTCCCTTTTCTGAGGCCTGTGCAGATCCGAAGGTTGAGCAGCGGCACTCGCTACTTGGATCCTGGGAACATGAGTGGCGGGGAAGCAAACGGGTTGCCCAACTTCTGACGAAGCCACTTTCGAGTGGTCCTCCCTTTAAAGGAAAACAGGTTTTGATTGGTCCATGGGGGTCCCAACTTGCAGGTTGCCTAAAGAGGGCAACAGTGGGGACATATCCGCAGCCCCTATAATGCAGCTGTTGCGGCGTGTGGTTGCAAGTTGCCCGTCGCCGATCCCACGCTTGGGCTGCCACTCTACCCTCCGGCAGCGGGAAGCCCAGGACTGGCCGACAGCTGACTATGGATTAAAGCTTCCCGGACAATGCGGCCAGTAACCCTGCATGCCACAGGTGAAAGAAATGCTGGACACGTCATGGCCTAGACTTAGTCCCTCGAGCATGCAAGCAAAGCCGACACATCCTAGGATGGTATCAAGCGAAGCTTCCAAGCCAAAAGAGGGGTGTTTTTGGATGTGTTTGGTTTTAGGGGACCCCTTTTTGTTTGCAAGAACAACTACCCAATGCGGGGGCGCTCCTATTTTTAGACAAACAGCGATAATCAGCCTCCCCCCAAGTGGTGGTTTGGATTTGGATTTGAACCCCTGGTTCTCGTTGAAACCACCAATTAAAGGGTTTTCCGAAGAGGGTGTGCTCTTTTGGGGGAGCTCCTGTTGGCTTCAAATGGAACCAAAAGGACACCGCCAATCATTGTGATGAAGAGACTCATCCATCTGTTCGTTCCCTTCCTCACTCATGCACATTATCATCTTCTCCCTCTATCATTCCTTCCGATGGGGGAAAGTGCACAACTCACCTGCAAGGCCCTAGATATAGAAAGGGAAAGGGAGGACGTGGCGAGACAAAAATGAACCACTTGAAGGCCCTTTCCAATTCCGGACTGTCCTTCCACTCCCTCCTGAGGCTGTGGCCGCTCAGGAAGGATCTGGCGGCTGCCGGGGCCTTGGGTGACATGCAACTGGGGCGTAAAGGGCCTAACCCATTTACCCTCACAAAGAACCAGGTTCAAATTCCCAAACCACACATCCAAATTCAATGGATGGCAAAAAAGACGGCAAACTTTGTGCTTCCCACGAAAATGGCCCCAAAAGTCCATGAACTCAGGAAGTGAGGCCCAAAGCCAAATCCAAAAAACAAAGACTTGTAAGAGACACAGCAACCTTTGGTCCTAACAACCTTCCTCACTGGCAGCGCAAAGGGTCCGCATGCCTGCATGCGTTCTTAAAGCAACCGCAGCTGGCTCAAACACTCAAAGTCAGTGATGCCCCACCTGAAAAACACTCGCAGCTTGTCTAATTTGCCTAGTTTGCCTTTGCTCTGCAATGCTGCTGCCCGTCTTTTTTAACCTGGCTAGAGTTTCAGACTGGGCTGACCGGAGACAAGAAGACCTACTCAAAGGGAAGAAATCCATGGGAGAGCCTTTCTGGCTGTCTTGGACTTCGGTACTGCATCGCAAGCCATGCCCAGTGCGCAAGCTCTTCAGAATGACTGGTCCAAGGGCAATGGTGGCTGGTTCTGCGCATCTCCGGCTGACTCCGCGCACAGCGCTCACATCGGCTTGTGAGAAAGCGGGTCCACGTACGACCTTAATGGCCCGGACAGCTGCAGCACTCACGCTGTTCCTTCTCAATCTTTGGCCCCAAAGCTCGATGCAACGGACGCACAGTGTCATGCTTCAAGCTCAAGTTAAGATACTCGGCCTCATGATTTCTGTCATTACAGTCAACCATTGCAGCGGCATTTGCAAGCTGCCTTGGGGACGGTATTGTCAATGCTCAAACTCAAACGTACGGATTGGGCTAACAACCCTGCAGAACATTTTGGTTGATATTCAGCAACCTGGCTTGCAACATGCAATCATCATGGCTCCTGCTAGAACGTGCTGCTTGAGAGCGGAAGCTTGCAAAAGCAACCATCAAAGCCCATCATCCACGCCCCACAGTTTGTTTTCCATTGACAGGCCAAGTCGCCCCAGACTTTGGACCTAAGATGTGGCAAGCACCGCATCCAACATCAACAACAGGTGGCTTAAGAAGCAACGGGCAGGAGGCACCAGTTTGATTGAATCCTCACTCCAATGTAGATGTACGTACGCATTTGCAGGCAACTTTGATTGGAAGGCGACTTGATTGGAACCCTTTGCAGGTCGTTCAAGTTGTCAACCTGGTTAAGCAAGCCGCGTCGAGATCAAACTCGTCCAGGTCATCATCTAAACTCTCCAGTTCACTTTGGTCCAGCAAGTCGCTGTGCCTGGCAACAGGGCACACCGCACATTGAAACAAAGATCCGCAAGCTGCAGCCATCGCAAGCATACTGGAACTGTGCGCAAGCCTCTGAGCAAACTCACGCTAAGTGGGTGGAAGTGGTATAAAGGGACCTCCTCGATTGCCACACCTTGTTGGGACCCACAACAAACTATCTTCATTCGTCTTTGGCTGCCCACCGTTCTGCGTGGCAATGAGCCCTAAACCAAGCCTCCAACCGCCATTTGCGGGTTTTGATTGGCTAACTCAACCTCAAGCCCGCCTGATGATCTGCAAGCAGGATTGCTCTACCTTGGCTAGACAGATCTGCAAAGGCTTCAAGGCTTCGGCACGCGCTCGACTGTGAATTGGAATAACTCTCTTGCACGCCGGGCGGCAGTTTGGCAATACTGCCACCTTGGAACGCGAACATGCCACTCCCCAATACACATGGTCAAACAGTCGGACCACCTGCAGCTTGTTCACCCATCTTTTGAATTTCTATGGATTCTATCCTGGTGATGCCTTTGAAACTCCATAAAACCAGTCAGCTACCCTGTGAGAACTGGAAGCCAGACTTGAGAAACAGACTTCCGCCAGTTCAGGGCCCCATCAATCTTTGTTTCACTCCACCGGGCGCAGGGCAGTGGCAGAACGTTGAAGGGCTGCTCCACACGGGAGCCGATGTCCTGCAACGCCGCGGATCGGAGCGGCAATTGCTGGCCCCGCTTAAAATCCTTAAGCTCTGGTGCGCACATGCAGCCCTGTGTTCGATTCTCTTGCGCTGCGACCTACCTTGTTGGCTGAGCCACGTGCAGTCCTGCCCCAAGGAAAGGTAACTGCCAAAAGCTGAAATTGAGAGGCAAACGCTGCTCAGTTCCTAGAACATGCGCAGCACTGACACGCAAACAACAAAACCAAGCACACAAAAACCACACACACCCACACAAACACAAAGCAAGCGCCCGCGCGGGGCGCACGCACAACAACAATAGCAACACGAACAACAAGAACATCAAGAACAGCAAGAATAATGAGAACAACAAGAACAATAATGCTTCTTTGTTCGCAGCCTCTGTCATGCGCGTGATTTGACAAAACGACTGTCTGAAGCCTGCGTTTCGCGCACAAAGGGCTGTGCGGAAAAAATCGTCGCGCCCTACGAGTGTGCTTATGATGTGCCAGCACGGGGGGCAGTGTGGCGGTGATAAGCACGTGCCATCATGTGGGCAGTGTGGCGGGCATGGGCTTCAACAGCAGAGTTAGTCAAGAAAAACTGCCAATCTAACACAGCTACCCAAACATGAGGCCATTCGCTGGTATTTGTGAAGGCCGCGAAAACAGAAGGATACCAACAACAACAACAACAACAGCAGCCGCGGCAGCAGCAGCAGCAACACCCACAGCACCCCACCAGCAACAACAGCAACAACAGCAACAACAGCAACAACAGCAACAACAGCAACAACAGCAACAGCCACAACAACAATATCAACAACATCAACAACATCAACAACAGCAGCAGCAACAACAACAGCACCAGCCACAACAGCATTAGCAGAAGCAACAACAATACACAAATAACAACTCCAACAACAACAAGAGCGCAACAACACCAACAACAACGACAACAGCAGCAACAACAACAAATGGACCGATACCGACAGCACCGCCACCAGCACCAATCACACTAACAACATTAACATCAAGAACAACATCAAAGAACAGCAGCAGCAACAACAACAAGAACAAACAGGAAGAGACAAACAACAAACAAAAACACACCACAACAATACCAACAACGACAACAACAACATAAACATCAACATGCAGAACAACAACACCAACACCAACACAAGAACAAGAGCAACATAACAACAACACCAACATTCAAACAACAAGAATAAGAGCAGCAATAACAACAGCAGCAGCAATAGCAATAGCAACAACAACAACAACAACAACAAGGCAGTAGTTTGCTTCGCCGCCGTGGAAGGCAGAGCGTTTTTCAAGAGCCATTGTCTCAGAACGCACAACTGTCATCGCTTTCCATCGTTGGGGTTTCCAAAAAAACAGGTTCTTTTCGGAGTGGCCATTCAAAGTGTCTAGCGGGGTTGAAGCATGGCACCCGGCGCTCTTTTCTCCCTGGCTGCATCTAGTCACTTTGACCAAAGTGCCTTGATCAGAGACTTCTCCAAATCATGCAACATCACGTTCCCGGGCATGCGCGCGGTGCTGACATGGCGCGCGTGAACGGGTGTGCATATTCTTTGTCAGTGACATGACGCGCGTGAACGGTCGCGCTCATCATTTGCCGGGCATGTGCGCAGTGCTGAGGTGACGCGTGTGAGCGGGTGTGCTGTGCTTAGCATGTGCCGGACATGTGTGCAGTGCTGACATGACACGCGTAAGCGGGTGTGCTTATGATGCGCCGGGCGTGTGCGCAGTGCTGACATGACGCGCGTGAACGGGTGTGCTTCTCATCCGCCGGGCATGTGCGCAGTGCTGACATGATGCGCGTGAGCCGGTTTGCGGGTTCCGGGCATGTGCGCAGTGCTGGGATGACGCGCGTGAGCGGGTGTGCTCATCATTTGCTGGGCTTGTGCGCAGTGGTGACATGACGCGTGTGAGCCGGTGTCTTATCATTTGCCGGGCATGTGTGCAGTGCTGACATGACGCGCGTGAGCGGGTGTGTTGCTGACTTGCCGGGCATGCGCGCAGTGCTGACATGACGCGCCTGAGCGGGTGTGCTTCTCATCCGCAAGGCATGTGCGCAGTGCTGCCATGACGCGCGTGAGCGGGTGTGCGGGTTCCGGGCATGTGCGCAGTGCTGACATGACGCGCGTGAGCAGGCTCCGGGCATGTGCGCGCCTGAGATGACGCGCGTGAGTGGGTGTGCGTAACTAGCATGTGGCGGGCATGTGCGCAGCCCTGAGATGACGCGTCATGTGCCGGGCATGTTCGCAGTGCTGGCATGACGCGCGTGAACGGGTGTGCTTCGCATTTGCCGGGCAGGTGCGCAGTGCTGTGAGGTGACGCGCGTGAGCGGGTGTGCGTATCATTTGCCGGGCGTGTGCGCAGTGCTGAAATGACGCGTGTGAGCGGGTGTGCTTACCATATGCCGGGCATGTGCGCAGTACTGACATGACGCGCGTGAAGAGCTGTGCTTATCATGCGCCAGGCATGTGCGAAGTGCTGGCATGACGCGCGTGAACGGGTGTGCTTATCATTTGCCGGACATGTGCGCAGTGCTGACATGATGAGCGTGAGCGGGTGTCTTATCATTTGCCGGGCATGCGCGCAGTGCTGACGCGCGTGAGCGGGTGTGCGGGTTCCGGGCATGTGCGCAGTGCTGACATGACGTGTGTGCTCATCATTTGCCGCGCATGTGCGCAGTGCTGACATGACGCGCGTGAGCGGGCTCCGGGCATGTGCGCAGCTGAGATGACGCGCGTGAAGTGGTGTGCTTGTCATGTGCCGGGCATGTGCGCAGGCCTGTGAGACGACGCGCGTGAGCGGGTGTGCTCATCATTTGCCGGGCATGTGCGCAGTGCTGACATTTGCTGGGCATGTGCGCAGACATGACGCACCTGAACGATAACATGTGCAGGGCAGGTGCGCAGTGCTGACATGACGCGCGTCAACGGGTGTGCTTATCATGCGCTGGACATGTGCGAAGTGCTGAAATGACGCACGTGC